CTAGGCTGTAATCTTTACAGGAGCAAATCACCAATATTTTCTCCTATGTAGCCACTGGGTGGGTTTGAACCATTAACTTTTCAGTTAACAGCCAAGTGCTTAACCCTTGTGCCACCTCATAGCAAACCTGTCTGAAAATCCAACATGCTCCTTCCTATTGCTTAGTTACTTCAAACTGAAGATGGGATTTTCAAATAGGGGGCCTATTCCCTTCAGTACACCTTTATCCTAGGCCCACTTTTTGCCATGCTTAGCTTTCTCCATAACCGGTTGGCATTATCCTTACTGAGGAGGGGGTGGAGGCAGCTGGAGAGCTGATGGTTGGCTGTCAAGATAAATGCTGCTTGTTATCAGGCATACATTTACAACTCTTACATCCAAGAGCTGGGCAAAAATTAAAGAATATTAAAAGTGAGAGGAAAGAGACAAAGCAATAAACATAATCCAGAATTTGGCACATAGTAGATGCTCACTAAGAGTGAGCTGAAGGGACAGGTGTGGTGTTAACTTCCCTAATATATTTTAGCAATAAGGAACTAGCTTCCAGGTACGATTGAAAATTTCATTCGTGTATAGTTTCATGATGTGATTTTTCTTTGACATTAATTGTTCAATATACTAACTTAACCCCTTTTTTTCCCTCTGATTGAAGGTTTGGTTTAAGAATAGGAGGGCCAGGTGGAGAAGACATCAGAAGGCATCAATGTGCAGAAATATGCCCCCTGCTGCTGTGGACCAGCCTGTGAACATAACTTTAGAGGGTCCATATAATGCCATCCTTGTTCAGGAGCCCAATTGGAAAGGGGTTCCTCCAGAGCCACCATCATCCATGCCACCCTTGCTTCTTCCGCCCTTACCTCCTTTTGGCGTGGCTTTGTCAGGCCAAGAAAGCACCCTTATCATCAGTGGTCATTTTGTCATCATCTTTTTCTAAGGTATGATTTCCATTACATTGTTTTCCAAAGTGTTTTCTTTTTCTTTCTGCCAGATTCTAATTGTGCATCACACATCAAGAGCAATTCACCAAATGCCCATTTAATGAATAAACAATCAAAATCTGTGCCCTGGGGTTTTTCAGGGTACATTTTGCATCTTCAATAAAGATGCAAACTCGCAGTGTGTTTGTTTTTGTGTGCCAAAGAGATGGGACTGCTGAGGGATACTATTCAGACAGAATGGCAGC